TGTGTTTTGTTTGTACTACTTTTAATAGCGTGAAAGTGAAAGTCGCTCAGTCATGTCCGACTCTTTGCGACCCCTGGCCTGTACAGTCCATGGGATTCTCTAGGCCAGAATACTGGAGTGGGTAGCCTTTCCCTTCTCCAGGGGATCTTCCCAACCCAGGGGTCAAACCCAGGTCTCCCACATTGCAGGCAGATTCTTTACCAGCTGAGCCACAAGGCAAGCCCAAAAATACTGGAGTAGGTAGCCTATCCCTTCTCCAGTGGCTCTTCCCGACCTAGAATTGAACCAGGTCTCCTACATTGCAGGCAGATTCTTTACCAACTGAGCTATCAGGGAAGCCCACTTTAATAGCGTAAATGCTCTAAAAATGAGGAAATTTGCAGAGCCAGAACAGTTGCCTTTATTTGTGTGAATCAAGAAGTGATGTTTTTGTTTTGAATTTTAAAATAAAAATGAAAAGATATAAGTATTCCAGGGTATTTCACTCAAGACCAATAGCAACATTCTAGCCACATTTGTTGTTTTCTCTTGTCAACCAAGGAAAAACATGCAACCTACAAATTGCAAATAATACTTTATTCAGGGGCCTTGCTGAGGGCTACAGCATGGGAGAATCCTCTCAGGTGGCTCTGAGAAAGTGCTCCAAAGGGGGAAGGACAGAGCCAAGATATTTAGGAGTTTTTGTTGTTGGGGGGGGTGGGCGGGGAATGCAGGTATCAGTCATCAAAAAATTACTGCTAATCACAAAAGTTGGACATCTCAAGCTAAATAATGATTTTAGTGCTTTTCTGTGTTTGATAAGATGCAGGAGTTTGGGCTCCTTGAGATTATCCCTGAGATGCGCGGTATCTGATAGACCCAGTGTCCTGTTTTTCTCCACCCTGAATTCCCTCGGGGTGTACTGTTGGGGGTGGGACAGCTGCAGTGGCCAGGGATCTCTGGGCAGACAGAGGTCTTTGTTCACTGAATGGCAGTCAGAGTCTCTGTCCACACGCTTGAATTCTTTGCACCAACATTCAAACACACTGCAATATCTGAACGTTAGAGAATCCGAAACCTGACCCCCATTGCTGCTCCAGCAGCCGCCTCACTTCTCCCCTCCGCTTCATAGCAGTCTTGCTTGGAAAAGGGGTCTCTGTTCACTGACTTCAGTTCGTCTCTTTCCATTCTGCAGTCTAGTGGAGTGAGGCCCTGGTCCCCCTCCAGACCATTAAATCCACGCCCCTCCAGGCACATCCTGATGGCTGCAGACCTGGGCGGTCTTTGGTCCTTATCTTCCTGGCCGCTCAAGTGTTTTTTTTTTTTTTTCCTTTCTCTGAGGACGCTTTCTTCACTTGGCTGCGGTTCCTCGGAAGCTGTTGAAATAGAAGGTTGCCCCAGGGACTCAGCTTTCATCCTGTGCTCTGTCTCCACTAGTCTCTGGTGACCTTTGAATCCATCCGTGTGGATGCCATGTGTCTCTGTAACAGCTGCACTGTAGTTGATTTAACCAACCCTCTCTTCCTTCCCTCTGAGTTCTTCTGGGGTTTATGTTTTTGAAATAATGATGATGTGCATACACTCCTTGGACATACCTCTCTGTATCCTTGTGAGAACGTTTCTATAAGTAAATATTCCACAGTTGAAAAAATCTGATCTAAAGGTGTATGGAACTTTTCACTCCTAACAGATGTCACTAAACGTCCCTCTACACCCCTGCCAGCAGTATGAAATTTACGTTCCTGCCATTCCCTGTATTCTGGCCAGCACTGAATGGGTACATGTTCAGGCAGGGTGGGTTTTTTTAGGGGGAAAAAACCTTTCTAGCTTTTCTACATGATTTTAATTGACTTTGCGAGAGCAAATTTCTACCAGTTTAAATATAAAGTGTTCTGTTCCTCATTGTAAGTTCTCAAATACCGTAAGCTTAATATCTTACTCCCACAGTCTAAATAAATTGTGATGCTCTGTCATTTTTGCGTGGAGATTCGGAATTGACTCAATGGCACATTTTTCCCTTTTGAGTGTCAGATTTGATTGCTAGCTATCATTAACTCAGATTGCGTAATCAGTCAGCCTCCATATGCCAGAACAGTGATTGCCATTGTTTTTAAAACTGGTACTGTTTTCATGGCTGTTATTAAAATAATAGCTTCGAAATTCTTACAGAATTTCTCCGTGGAAAGAAAATTAACTGAAATTAACCCCATTGTGAGGAATATCAACCTGAGATAATTGACTTGAAACTAGCAAGCTCCAGTCAGTAAGTTTTGGAAAACTTTAAAACAAGTTTTAAAGGTAATAGCAGTTTCCCTGTGGTGACTTTGCTCGGAGAAGATAACTGAGAAATACAAATTTTCTTTCTATTAACTTATAGTCACATTACATGACCAGTGTATAATTTGACCGAGATATTTCGGTTTAACTAAACCGATGAAGCAGGTGTTCCTGGGTGTTCTTCCAGCTTAAGTTAATGCTGATTCAGTAGTGGATTAAAATCCTGTATTGCCAAAAACCTTTGGATTCTCTTTAGTTTCTTTTCTGGTGTATCATTCCATCACATGGAAGAGAATTCTTTCATATATTTGAGCCTCTTAAAAAGTACAGGTTTTGGCAAGCTAGAATGCTTATGACAAGCTATTTGCCTTTAAAACAGAAATTTCAGTTTTCATAGGAAAAAATCAAATATTCGTTAAACCACTGGGTGTTATTTAGTTTGAAATTCAAGTTTACAAACTGCAATTACAAATAGCGTCTTTCTAAAGCAGATTTGACCCCACTGGCAGTGCACAGGAGAACCTTTTCAGATTCTATAGTCATAGTGACCCCTCTGAGGCTGTTGATAAAGGATGCTTTGCTTATAGGTTGCATTAAAGATCATTTCTTAAAAACTGGACAGATCAAAGAAGAAGTTACTGCTCCTGGTCAGTAGCTACCAGGATGGTGAGTGATTTTTATCTGGTATAAACGATTAGAAATTCATTTGCCTTTCATAACTTACTGAAACTGATTTTCAGATTAGCCTGAGGATGTATTCTTCTTTACACTGGAAAGAAGGAGCATACATTTTCTAGCCTTTCAGAGCAGACATGCCAGTAAAAATAATAGACGCGCCATTTCTTAGACTCGTCACCTTAAGTGGCAGTCACCACGAGGAGTCCCTTACTTATATGGTGTCGGTTCGTCTTTGTGAGTAACTCTGTGTGGCAAGGACTGCTATCCCTGTTTGAAGATTAGGAAGTTGTCTGCAAATACTTTTATGAATAAGGAGAGAGATTAAATGACTTACTCAAAGTGCACAGCTAATAATCAGTAGGGTTTGAATCGGGTGTTCTGACTCCAGAACCTATATTGTCACTTACTCAGCTCCGCTGCTAAAATAAATTCTCCATGTAAAAGCAACCAGTGGATGCTAACATGTATGTACCCATACTTATCAAGTGTGGTTGGAGCCCAGGCTCCGGCCTAGCCCTTTGGTATGCTCTTAGACTTCTCACTTGTCATTCTTATGCACACTCTCACATTCAAATATATCTGTGAACTGGAGGCCTTTTTTTTTGCAGGGCCGCAGCCGAGAAGATGTCTGAGATACCTTCGCTTGTTTTGTTCAGCTGCCTTGAATGTAGCAGGAGCAGAGCTTACTTAGCCTGTCTCCTGATCATTTCATCCCTGCCCAGTCCCCTGCTCCTCCTCTAGTGTGCTCTGTCCTGGCAGGGACAGCCCCGTGCTCTTGCTGCAGCCTCGGAGCCTGGCCGTACCCTGGGCCTCTCTCCGCTCTCATCTGTGCATCCAGTCAGTAAGAAGGACCATCTCTGTTTCCTTAGCATCGCTCGAGTGCATCCGCTGTTTCCATTCCATTGTCCTCTTGAGGCTGTCATCACCCCTCAACTAGACCATTGTCACAGCCTTTAAACTGGTCGCTTGGCCTCCAGCCTGGCTTTCCATTTTCCACTCTCGAAAGTGTAAGGACGAGCATGTCACTCCTTCGTTAAACTCTTGAGTTTCCGTTGTCCTCAGGATGAAATCTGAATTCCTTAGTAAGGTTTGTCAGGACCTCACTAGTCTGGCTTCTTGGTGCTCCTCTGGCTTTTTCTCTCGTCCCCTGTGACACTCACTCTGCATGTTCTGAGACGATGAACTTGATTTTCTCTCATGCGCCGTGCTCTCTCTCGTTTGATTCTTACCACACGCTTTCCCCCTGGCCTGCACTACTTCTCCCCACCCCATCCTGGAGCATTTCGTCCACCACCTCCTCCTGGACATCCTCAAGGTTCAGTGTAAACTTCAGTTCCTGACGGGGAGGCTTTCCCCTCCGAAACATTGGTCGTACGTTCATTTAATGTCTCCTTCTTGGTAAGACTGCAGGTTCTCCGTAGTGGAGACCTCTGCTCCACTGAGTTTCCAGCCCCTGGCATAATTCCCAGTGCCTGGGAGACACATGGAAAGAACTTAGAGAACAAATTAGAGATACAGTTTCTCCCTTAACAAGCTCAGAGTCTAGTGGGAGCCAGGGTCTAGTGAAGAAAGAAGCTTGGAGCTGATGATCAGTCCTCTAATCAAACGCTGTGGGATCACAGAGGAGCATGTGAGTGATTAACTTCGCCTGGGGGAGCAGTTTCGCTGTGAAACTTTACATTATAGAAGAAACTGACCGACAGCATTCAGATAGGGGAAAAGACGAGGAGAGTTGTGCCGAGCAGTGGAATTGATTCAGTTGCATTTGCTTTATTTTTTGCTCACTAGTTGAGCAGCTGCTCTCAGTAGACTTTTGACCTTCTAAGGTTATCTCAAGACCGTCAGAATTCTAACCTAGATGTAGAGCAAGGTAGCTAGCTAGCCACGCTCACTAAGTTGACTGACCTTCTCGTCGTCCCCGAGCAGAATCAGCGCTGGCTCTTTTATGTTCCCCATTACAGATCACGCGTCTGTGTCTCTGGGTTCTCGTAGCCGAAATCGACAGTGTTAAGTCCCCAAATAGCAGAGGTGCTGCCCGTGTTCCCATCTTTTCCTTGCCTTTCCAGCTCTGACCGCCATTGAAGGCACAGCGCACGGGGAGCCTTGCCACTTCCCTTTCCTCTTCCTGGATAAGGAATACGACGCGTGCACCTCGGACGGGAGGGAAGACGGCAGACTGTGGTGTGCCACCACCTACGACTACAAGGCGGACGAAAAGTGGGGCTTCTGTGAGAGTGAGTGTCGTTCGGCAGGAGGCAGGTCCGCATTGGGTGACGCCTCGGCCAGCAGTTCGGAGGCCTTTTTGCTGCCGTCTGTTTTCTCCCTCGCCGAGAAGCAGTCAGCACTGATGCTCTGACTGTCCCTCAAAGCCTGGACGTCAGCGCACGACGCGGGCCGTGCCCCCACTTCCAGGCCGTCACCCGGGCCTGTCACACTCGTGCCTTATGTCGGGGTGGTTTTCCAGGGTGTGCATGGGTGGTTCTGAAGACTCCCAGGCAGACTACTAAATTAATTAACATGAAACATGTTTTTGGCAACAAAGGAAACAGAACATTACAGTAAAGGTTAACTAATAGTGGTTAAAAGAAAAATAGAGAATACCTTTTCTAAATACTTGAGTGAAATACCCTGTGCTGTGTTAACATTTGACAAGTACAGTGTATTTAACTGTCCTAAGTGTTCATGTCAGTCAGTACAAAGGGGCTGACTTCTAAAGGCAAGCTGTATTTTCAGGAAAAACTTGCTGAAAATAAAGAGCAATGGAAAACCTTAAATATATCTTGGTTGATACCAAATGACATTTTCAGAATAGTGGCTCTGGTAGAATATTTAGGCTCTCCTAGAATATGAAGTCTTATATGTGGTCCATCTTTGGAGGACCAACTGATTAAATGCTCCAGTTTAATACATCAGATTTTTATTATATTGTAAAAACAGCTCACTTCTGTTTCTATAAATATTTGTCCTAATGAAATATTCATATGTCTGTCATTTGATGAGTTACAGATTTCTGTTAAAATGCTATATTACAGTAGCAAAATAACTTTTGCAAAATTTACGATAATTCTGTTATTTTCAGGGTTGTATTAATGTTTATGTATAGGAAAAAATAGACAACTTGAACATTGAATTGGGATCTATAGTTAATAAAAATCAAATTTTTTTATTAAGTTTTTAGCATAATTTGTCAAATACTTTTTCCTTGTAAAAATATACAGCATTTCAGGTGAGGCTGAAGTGTTCTTTGACAATAATAATATTTTTCTGACTGTTTTTTCCTGTCCTGGTTTTAGCTGACCTTGGCATATATAATCATAAACTCCTAGTGAAATTTTAGTTAAATTTACTAAAAAGTTAGAATTACTAGCAGAAAAGCAGACTTGAGAGTGCCTTCTCTGAAAGAAAGTGATTTCAACGAGTTTTGTTTCCCTGTCTTTTGTCAGATAAAGGCCATACTTAAAACCATGTATCTTTAGAGTCAGATTTTGAAATGGTGAAGAATCATGAATTGTGCTTCCATGCCTTCTCAGGAAAAAGAATACGTTCTGATGTCTGACAAGTAATTGGTGCAGAATTATCCTTGTAAATGCAACTGACATTTTGTTTTCAGCTGAAGAAGAGGCTGCAAAAAGACGGCAAATGCAGGAAGCAGAAGTGATGTACCAGACCGGGATGAAAATCCTCAACGGCAGCAACAGGAAAAGCCAGAGGAGAGAGTAGGTTGCATGGCCCACTCCATCCTTGCTCTGAGCCCGCCCTTGCCAAGATGGTGGCTGAGTGCTTTTTAAGTGGAACGTACTGCCAGAGATAAAAAGATTTCCTAAGTTGTATTACAGGAAAACTTAATCTGGACATTAATATAATGTCCATATTAATAACTTAATATTAATATTAAGTTATTAATCTGGACATTAGGGACATTACTTTTATCAGATTTTAGCTTGTTGGGATAAACATGTTATAAGTACCAGTCCTAAGAATGAACAGTGAACAAATGGCAGTATGTGATTAAGTTGTAGTCATTTCTCAGTGCCAGGAACACATACTATTCAGAATTCAAAGTGACATAAAACAGACAAAAGGAATTGTTGTCAGGTGTTTTCTGGGTTTTTTTGTTTTTGCTTTGTAATTTTCTTACAGACAAAGTCTAGAATTTAGAAATGAAGGAACATAAAACAAGTGATTGTCCTCTAACATTTTATGTCCCCTTAATTTCAGCTGACTTTTGCTATAGTCTGTGCAAAGATTTTAAAGACAGTTGTAGTGGTCATCATTGGATTTTTTTTTACTGGAGACCATATGATTACTGTTCTGACATTACAAATCAAGTTAACTTTCTTAATAGAACTTTTTAGGATTACTGTTAGTGTAATTAGAATTCCAAGACACTCTAACAACAGAACTGGTATTCTACGTAAAAACGAAAGTAGCCAGAATGTTTTATAAGTAACCCTGCTTTAGTAAAAATATCAAAAGGGTTCTGTACAGTAAGGAAATTAAGTTACATTTTAGTAGATCTTGAAAACAAATTTTAATGGTAATTCCAAACGTCGCTAATTTGTTTTTTCTTTACTTGCATTTAAAGAGCTTATCGGTATCTTCAGAAGGCAGCAAGCATGAACCACACCAAGGCCCTGGAGAGAGTGTCCTATGCTCTTTTGTTCGGTGATTACCTGACACAGAATATCCAGGCAGCGAAAGAGATGTTTGAGAAGCTGACCGAGGAAGGTTCCCCCAAGGGACAGACTGTGAGTGTCCTTCCTGCGGAGCGCTCTCTGCGCCCAGTGCTGCTGCTTTCCTTTAACAGCCCGGTGCTCTTGTTGCTCTGACTTCCTTTAACAAGTAAGACTGTAAATATTAATTTCGTGGCAGATTATTGTACTGGTCTTCTTGGACAGTCTTTTTTCTTCATTTGAGATCATTTAGTCATTTAGGCATTTTTGCATTTGCATCTTGCCAAAATTATATTTGCACCAGCTCTGTGGAGACAGATGCGCCTGTGGTCAGGAACCTTACGGGCCTTGCCCTGAGTACCTCTGCACCCAGCTGTTTATCTGTATGCTTTATACTGTCTTCATTTTGTTTATGTGTTTTCGTGTAAAAATAAGCAGTTTTATTCATCTTGTTTTTGGTTTCTGAATCTTTTGTCCTACTTATAAAGGTATTTTGCACACTTTAAAAAAAATGCCTTCAGTAATAAAGATTTAGCAATGGCGTGGGAATTGCTTAAAGATAAAATTTCTGGTCACAGAGGAAGTCTGTTTTCAGGTTATATAAATAACAGGTATCATGACCATTGTTTTCTACAGGACTGGTAACCAGTCTGCAACTCTTAGATATCTGTCTTGGTTTTGGTTTATAAACAGGTTATGTCTTAATTGCTCCCCTTTGTTTTCAAGGCGTTTTCCCCCTTCTAATGAGTTTAGGTAAAATTTACGCATACATTCTTTTTTTTTTTTCCATTTATTTTAATGGGAGACTAATTACTTTACAATGTTGTGGTGGTTTTTGCCATACACTGACATGAATCAGCCATGGGTGTACATGTGTCCCCCATCCTGAAGCCCCCTCCCACCTCCCTCCCCATCCATCCCTCAGGATCATCCCAGGGCACCGGCCCTGAGCGCCCTGTCTCATGCGTCGAACCTGGACTGGCGGTCTGTTTCACGTATGATAATACACACACACATACCTTCTTTATCTTCAGGCACATTCCATTCCGAGAAATGACTTTGCTTTTAAGGCCTCCTTCCTCTTTAATATTAGAACCTTACAATGCCACAGTGCTGTTTGACACTGCACAGCACTCCCTCCACTGTCATTACCGCTCGCTGGTGAAGCGAAGCGCCGGAATCACAGTGGCTTCACGCAACAAGGGGTATTTCTTGCTTGTGCCAGGTCCCGTCAGTGCTCCTGCCCGAGCCACTCTTCAGATGGTGGCTCGGGATCTGGGCTGCTTCCATCACGGATCTGTCCACCATCCAGAATACGGGACTTCCAAGCCGTCGTGTAGGGAGAAGGGGGGACTGGAGGAGTCCGGGATGTTTTTAGGGGCCAGGCCTTAAACTGGCCTGCGTCCTTTCTGGTCACATCCGAGGCAGTGGCCCTCCCTAACTTCAAGGGAGACTGGGCAACACAGAAAAGCTCATGGATTTGGATGAGAATAGCACCAGCCTTTACAATTTTAGCTTACGCTTTCACGTCATCAAGGGTGGTCCTCAGAGAGCAGAGGGTAGAACCTTATCAGTGCATTGTTTGCTTGATTGGTTTTTTTGTTTTGTTTTCTTTTTAAGAAGTTGTATATGCACTAGCAAGGGGAGGTGACCTTTTTCCCTTCGCCCCTTCAGTTTAGCCCCTTGCTGCCTCTTTTTGTTCCTAGGATAGTTGTTTAGTAATCCTTTACCCATTATGGGGCTTCCCTTGTGGCTCAGCTGGTAAAGAACCCACCTGCAGTGCGGGAGACCTGGGTTTGATCCCTGGGTTGGGAAGATCCCCTGGAGAAGGGAACGGCTTCCCACTCCAGTATTCTGGCCTGAATCCCATGGACTGTACAGTCCATGGCGTCACAAAGAGTCAGACATGACTGAACAACTTTCACTCACCCATTATCATTGTGTACCAGCCTCTACATAGCTAATATATTGAAAGAAAATGTTGTTTCTTAAATTTAGGATGGCGCTGGGTCTTCATTGCCACACGCAGGCTTTCTCTAGTTCCATCGAGCTCGGGCTTCTCATTGCAGTGGCCCCTCTTGTTTGGAGCACAGGCTCTAAGCTCTTGGGCTTAGTTGCTCTATGGCATGTGGAATCTTCCCAGACCAGGGACGGAACCCATGTTTCCTGCATTGGCAGGCGGGCTCTTATCCACTGTATCACCAGGGAAGTTCAATAGATACTATTTTGATGTAATGATATAGGAGGCATTTTGTTTTCATAGTAACTGTTCCCCAAGAATCAAGTAAAAGTCATATTTAAGTGTGTTCAGCTTTTGGTTTTCTTAAAGTGTCTTTTGATCTTCAAGCTAAATTTTTTTACTTGTTTAAACTTATATTTCACTGTGTAATTTGTAAAACCTTGAATGCATTTCTGAGGCTTTTTAATTCCACGATTGTGCATATTTGCAGGTTTCACATTTTTTAGCATTTCAGGACCCTTACATCTTCTCATGGTTCATAGAACTGTGTCTGCCTTAGGTAAACTTACACTCATGACTTTTATCATTTTGTTTCAGGCTCTTGGCTTTCTCTATGCTTCTGGACTTGGTGTTAATTCAAGTCAGGCAAAGGTAACACTGTTAAAACTTTATTGTGTAATGCAGGGTGGACTGGGTGACTCTGTGACTGTGTTCAGTTAAGCATCTTTCCTTCTTTCACAGGCCCTTGTTTATTACACTTTCGGAGCTCTTGGGGGCAACCTAATAGCCCACATGGTTTTGGTAAGTAAGATTTAAATGGAAGGTAATAAAATTGCTAACAATTGTAATAATATTCATAATTGCAAGTGGCCACCACTTCTCTTGCTTTCATGATTACAGTCTACTTATATTTATTAAGACCCAATAGTCAATTGAATGTCCTTCAAATTTTTGTTAGTGGATACAGCAGTTGAATCTGCATGTGGAAAATTGGTAGAGTCCACGATTTTTCATTAAAATTATTAGTTTGGCTGATTGCCCTTAAAATAAGAATCTGATAAATGACTCTTTTCCCAATTTTCTCTTAAGTTGGAATTGTTTGTCAGAATTATTTTTAGATTGGATTATGACAGATTTTATGTTTAAATTGATGATTGACTAACTATATAAAGAGCCAGTATCCTATAAAGTTTACTACATAGTATCTCTTACGTGTTACCTGACAGCATTGATCATTTAAATGGCTTAGTGGTAAAATATAGCATCTTACCTCCATGTTCTTTTCTGCTGAGGTGTTTAATCTGCCTTTTACTTTATAAATTGACTTTAAGAGAATCGTGTGACCTCTGGCCCATATTGGTGGTGGTGGTGGTATAGTCACTAACTCGTGTCCAACTCTTGCAACCCCATGGACAGTAGGCTGCCAGGCTCCTCTGCCCATGGGAGTCTCCGGGCAAGAATACGGGATTGGGTTGCCATTTCCTTCTCCAGGGGACCTTCCCAACCAAGGAATCGAACCCAGGTCTGCTGCCTTGTGGGCAGGTTTTTTGCCAGCTGAGCTATGAGGGAAGCCCCTGGCCCATATTGCTGTGTTCCACATGAAGGCATTAAATTCTTGCAGAAATAAAGAGAGTAGACTGAGCGGAGGTAAGACCAAAAGTGGAGAAACCTCCGAAGTCTGGAGGGGCCACAGGCCTGGTCTCTGATAGGACTGTGAGACTTCAAAGAAGGGAGATCTGGAGGGGCCACAGGCCTGCTCGCTGACAGGACTGTGAGGCTTCAAAGAAGGGAGATCTGGAGGGGCCACAGGCCTGGTCTCTGACAGGACTGTGAGACTTCAAAGAAGGGAGATCTGGAGGGGCCACAGGCCTGCTCGCTGACAGGACTGTGAGGCTTCAAAGAAGGGAGATCTGGAGGGGCCACAGGCCTGGTCTCTGACAGGACTGTGAGACTTCAAAGAAGGGAGATCTGGAGGGGCCACAGGCCTGCTCGCTGACAGGACTGTGAGACTTCACAAAGAAGGGAGATCTGGAGGGGCCGCAGGCCTGCTCACTGACAGGACTGTGAGACTTTACAAAGAAGGGAGATCTGGAGGGGCCACAGGCCTGCTCGCTGACAGGACTGTGAGACTTCAAAGAAGGTAGATCTAGTTTTCTGGCCAGTGAGCAGATCCTGGATGATTTTCCTTCTGTGTATTCTAAAACACTGAATACTTGGCGTTGGGCTTCTCATACAGTAAGATCTAATGCCAGCCCACAACAAGCATTTACTCTCGAGAGGGAGGCGTGAGTAGGGAGACCATTACAATACAGCACGAGCACATGAAGGCATCACTGACAGGCTCCCAGCCCACACTGGCAGGGGAAGGAGAGGGAGTTAAGGAGATCCTTCTGAAGAAAGAAGCAGCTGTTGGTGGAGAAGGGAATGCCAGGTAGGTCATCACCAGGACAGGGAGACAGGGATCGTGTAAAGGGCCGGACGTCACGCCAGGGAGCTTGGACTTGGTCCTGTTACAGAGGTAAACCATTTTCCAGTACGTGAAAAATGAGAGTGTCACTCTAACTTTCTGAAACATTCCTCACTAACTTTGAAGTTTTTTCATTTGTTCGTCTCATGTCCAAGAAAGTTTATTGCTCCCACAGTCATTGAAACGTTGTTTTTAGATGAGTTTTCAGAAAACATGAAGTATTTTTGACAGAAATCTCATTTTAAAGCTGTTTACCAATCTTCTTAAATAGGGGCTACAGACTAAGAACATTAAGTATTATTACACTTGTTATTGTACACTTCTGCCCTGAGGACTGTTAAAGTTGGTGAAGTTATGTGAGTCTGACTCCAGAGAGCTCTGTTCTCTTCTCTTCTTCATAATTAGCAGTCTTCCCCCTTATTCTGAAGTCATTTATTCCTGGTACTGCTCTGCCCGTCTCTAGTAGTTTCTTGTCTTCCCTAGATTGCTAGTTGGTTGCTTCTTTAAAAGTTAATAGTTTTCGGATCCGCCATCTGTGGTGGAGCCGCCACCAAGGTGCAGATTTTTGTGAAGACCCTGATGGAGAAGGCCATCACTCTCGAGGTCGAGCCCTCGGATACAATAGAAAATGTAAAGGCCAAGATCCAGGATAAGGAGAGAATTCCTCCTGGCCAACAAAGACTGATCTTTGCTGGCAGGCAACTGGAAGATGGACATACTTTGTCTGAGTACAACATTCAGAAGGAGTCCATTCTTCATCTAGTGTTGAGACTTCGTGGTGGTGCTAAGAAAAGAAGTCTTACACCACTCCCAAGAAGAACAAGCATAAAGAGAAAGAAGGTTAAATCGGCTGTTCTGAAATACTATAAGGTGGATGAGAATGGCAAAATCAGTTGCCTTCGCCAGGAGTGTCCCTCAGATGAATGTGGTGCTGGAGTTTTTATGGCCAGTCACTTTGACAGACATTATTGTGGCAAATGTTATTTGACCTATTGTTTCAACAAACCAGAAGACAAGTAATTGTATATTGGTTAATAAAGATATGAGCTAACAAAAAAAAAGTTACTAATGCTTTGGAAGATTAATCGATTTTTGTTAAAATTGTGTCTAAGATTGAAATCTCGTCTAAAAGCAAGAGCCTCGGTAATTTTCTCGTGTAGGTAAACGGGCACACACTGCATACAGAAAGTTGATGGCATCTATTTTGATTGCTCTCAGAACTTTAGTGTCTATTTCCCAGGTCTAAGCTGTAGTCTGATTGTTAAAAGTTGCTGAATAAGTTACCTCAGAATGTGACCCTCAGGATAAATGAGATGGCCGTGTGTTTGTATCAGAGGACAGTACAGTTTCCCTTTGCATAGGGTTAGCTTTATCTGTTCCTGCTAGAATGCCACTGAAGCATGTGGAAGTTCCCTCTTCTCACTGAGGTTGCATTTATTACAGGGTTACCGATACTGGGCTGGCATTGGAGTCCTCCAGAGCTGTGAATCCGCACTGACTCATTATCGTCTTGTGGCCAATCATGGTACCTGCTTTTTTTGCCTTTGACGTTACCCCAAAAAAAAAAAATTAATTTTAAATTTATTGTACTGCTTGAAATACTGTGACTGGCTCTCAAGTGGAATCATCTTTACACTAGTTGTTTAGGAAGTACTTTTTAAAAATTTGCTTTGGATTGCACTTCTTAGTATTGTGTGGGAAAGAAACTGAATTTAGCTTAGATGACTTTCACACTGTGTAGACCACAACAGAAAAACTTCCTTTAACGCAGCGTCTGTTGGTATCTGGCAGCTGGAATGGTACTTCTCACTGTGGGACCACCCCTCTGACTTTCCGCCCCGTGTTGCTTCGTCCTTGTTTCAGTTGCTAGTGATATCTCGCTGACGGGAGGCTCAGTGGTGCAGAGAATAAGGCTGCCTGATGAGGTTGAAAATCCCGGAATGAACAGCGGAATGCTTGAGGAAGATTTGATTCAGTATTACCAGTTCTTAGCTGAAAAAGGGGATGTCCAAGCCCAGGTATGTGTTTAAAGGTCTCCTGCAAGGCACACTGCCTTGTGTAGTACAGCCTCTGGGGGCAGGCAGTTGGAGCTATAACATGTTCACTGAGCTATTATTAGCTATAAATTAGTCCCATTTACTCTCCAAACCTTCCATTTGGATTCTTCTGGGTTGTGACCCAGGCATCGATGGTGCCTTAAAAGCTGGCCAGGTGGCTCCAGTGTGCGCCACAGTTGGATTGGAGCAACATTACAGTGATGACGAAGGCTCTTACTGGAGTCACCGAGATAAGAACTGTTGCTTCCTCTAAACAGAAAGTCTCAGGAACACTTGTCATTTCAGATGCTCTTCAGAGCTATTTACCATTCGTCTCCTTTGCTTATCTTAGACTATAATTTTCTCAAGGTCAGGGAGCGAAGTAGGCCTGTTTAATGTAAACTGTATGACATACATCAAAGTATCATGTGTAATTTGTTGTTTCATGGGTTGTTTTGATGATATTAAAAAAGAGAACTTCACCATCCATCTTTTTTAAGTTGACAGTTCCTTCTGATTTATAAACATGTAGGGATGAGCAGTAGATACTTTTCCAATTAATTTTAAGACTAATAGAAGCTAACACTGTAGATTAGTTTGGCTTGTTTTTGAAACTTAAGTAAAAAAGAAATAGTCATATGGCATATTTTTGTTATCAACTTCTTTTGTTCAGTATTGTTTCTGAAATCAATCCTTGTGTTTTCACATAGCTGTAGTTCATTGATTTGCATTGCTGTGTAGTATTTTGTTGTATGAAACTATCACAATTTATCCATTTTATTCTTCCCAGATTTGGGCTATTAAAATAATGCTATGTGCGTTTTCTTGTACATTTCTTATGCAAATATTGTCTCAAATTTTCATAGCTTTATAGAACTTAGTATCTGATAGAAATACATTCTCCCACTATCATATTTTCATTATATTTAGCTCTGATTTTCATCATTTTTTTGACTCTTGTGTAATTTAGAAATGAATTGCTTAATTTCCATGTCCAGTCAGCCCTCTGTATACTGCAGGTTTTGCATCCACAGATTCAATTAACCATGGATCAAAAATATTCAAAAAAACTTTTTTTCCCCAGAAAGTTCCAAAAAGCAAACTTGAATTTGTTACACATCGGCAACTATTTACATAGTATTCACAACTATTTACATAGCGTTTACATTAAATTTTATAAGTAATCTGGAAATGATTTAACATGTACAGGAGGTTGTGTGTAGGCTGTACACATTTTATACAAGGGGCTTGAGCATCTGAGAATGTTGGTATCTGTGTCTGGGAGGGGTCCTGGAACCAATTCCCTATGGATACCCAGGGATGACTGTACATGGGAATTTTCTACTTACCTTTTTTATTGTTGGAGTCTCTCTTAATCCACTGTAGTCAGAATATGCTCTTTGCTGTTAGTTGCTTGCGATTTCTCGAGACTTGCTTTATGCCCCCATCCCTTGGTCAGTTTGGGCAAATATTCCGTATGCTAAAGAGAATGAATTTCTGCAGTCATTGGGTGTAGTGTTCTGTATGTGTCAGTTGAATCAGGTTTCTTCATTCTTTATTCAAATCTTTTGAATCCCTACTGGATTTGTCTGCTTTTTCTGTCGAGTGCTGAGATGACATGATTGAAATTTTTCACTCTGGATTTCTTTCTTTTAGTTCTGTTTCACTTTATATTTTAAGCCATGATGAGTTGCATACAGACTTAATACTTATCTTTCTTTTGAACTAACTTTTGTATCATGAAATGTCCTCTTTTAATCTCCAGAAATATTTTTTGCTTTCAATTCCCTGGAGAAGGGAAAGGCTCCCCACTCCAGTATTCTGGCCTGGAGAATTCCATGGACTGTATAGTCCATGGGGTCGCAAAGAGTCAGACATGACTGAGCGACTTTTAACTCACTAACTTGCTTAATACTGGCGTAGCTGCCCTACTTTCTTTTGGTTAGTATTTACATAGCTGCCCTGCTTTCTTTTGGTTAGTATTTACATGGAATATCTTTTCTGTCTTGTATTTTCAATCTTCTAATGTTTAAGGTATGTTTATTACAAGTATCATATGACTAGTTTTGTTCATTTTTAAAAGTCTATTCTGACAGTCTTTTAATTAGAGTAATTAATGACATACTTGGATTTTAATTTTCTATCTTTCTTGCTTTTATTTTGCTTTTCTCTGTTCCCTTTTCTCTCCTTTCTTACCTTCTTTTGGTTGGAGGTTGTCTGTATTTTAACCCTATGTATTTTTGAACTCCATAAGATAATTGTTCTTTTATACAGTCCATCCAGTATAGCATTCCTCACAGATTTACCTTTCTGTTGTTCTTTATTTCTTATCTCATCTCCAAGCTTCCTAGGATAATCTTCCCACTTCCGGAAGAACACCCTGTAATTAAAAGGATTTGAACTTTTCTTTAGTTTGTGTGGAAATGCCTTTTCTCACCTCTTTCAGAAGGATGTTTTGCAACTAAAAGCAGATGTTTTTAATTTTTTTAAAAATGCAGTTAGAGTAGTATCCCATAAGAAAAATGTTTACTTTTCTGCGTTATGGACAGAACCCTTTTTGTGACCAAATGTTTCTTGTTGGGCTAATTTAATTACAGGCCAGATGCAGGTGCTGCCATTTACAAAACCTTGCCTCCATTTTGCTCATTTTCAGGTTGGCCTGGGACAGCTGCACCTGCACGGAGGCCGTGGAGTAGAACAAAACCACCAGGTACCCTTCCTGATCTTCAGGCTTCGCTTTCATCCTGTGGCGAGCTGTGCCACTCCAAGTGTATTTCTTGCAAAGTCAGTGACAAGAGCAAGCTTTGTAATTGAGTCACCATCACAAATGAGCTTTCAAGGTCTAACCCCTGAGGAACCTGAAGAACAAAAATGTGGTCATACTTTGCAGTGATGGGAAAGGTTTTATTAATTCCAAAACTAGTTGTCAGTGCTGCCAAAAATGCATAGAACAGTGTCTTGGTTTTCTATAGGTATGTGATAGACATATGTCTGAAAACTCCTATTGGAAAGTGTTTCCTAGAACTGAGGAGACCTCAGTGTTGAGTTTTTGAGAAATTAGGTGTGTGCAGCTGTAGCAGTCACATCCATTTCCAGTCCCTAGTGTTTATCTGTTTTTTATCTGCTTTTTGTCCTGTGTATCGCTCGTTTCTTCCCTTCTTTCCTCAGTACACCTGTCACTTGTGTGAATAATCTCCTGCCTGCATTTCCTAAACAGTAACTTGTATGGGTTACTGCAGATGTAAACTGTGCATCTGATGGTGCAGTTCCCTTGCTTTAATTTCTTTTGAGTGGTCTGTGATTTCCAGTAGCTTGAAAGCCACAACCTTCAGCGTGACCTCCAAGGCCTTGGACCACGCTGTTTCCCTTGCCAGCCCCTTGCTTTCTGAGTCATAGGCACAGGGACCTTTACTCAGGTCTTTGAAAATACTAAGAAGCTCCTATCTCGGAACTTCTGGAAGGCCAGTCCCTCTGTCTAGAGTGAATATTACTATCCCACCTGACAGTTCATACTCATCCTCCAGAAGTCAGGTCCAGTGTCTCTTCCCCTAACACGTGTCCCCTGATCCCTACCCCGCTGCAGGAATAGGTTGTGTACCACAGTTAGGAGTTCTGAAAATCTGTATTCCCTGTGGCCTTTGTCATTGTAAATTAGTCAAGTATGTAATATAATTGTTTCTCCTGCTAGAATGTGAGGTTCAAAACAGCATGGGCTGTGTCTGCCTTCTTTGCCACCTCATTGCCTGCGCCTGGCAATGCTTAGCATGTAGTAAGTTCTCAGTAAGTGTCTGACTAATGAAACTCTGTTTTTCTGCCATACCAGTTAAATGTTCTAATTAAGGTTATTTTATACATCATATTGCATCAACTCTTAAGAATTAGATCATAACAAATGCGTTTATCACTGAAACAATACCAGATATTGATGCTTTTTAAAAATTACTATGCAGACAGCATTTTGACAACTCTAGGTGCCTCTTGGATGTTAAAATTTCATGTCATTGTGCCCATGAACCCAGCAAATGAACTGGTTAGTAAAAATGTCAGGTGAGAGAACAGAAATCTGGTTAAGAGTTTTCTGCTTACTTTTATACAAGTTTCGGGATGTTCCTGGTGGTGTATGCTACCTACCTGGGAAGCAGTTACACAGGGATAAGTTTTCATAGAAGAGAAGGCATTCTCAATACATGATTGCGTGAACTCAGCCAGCATTGAGTAGTACCACTGTCCCATTCACCACAAGGCATTCAGGATACAGCGCTGGACCTTGCCTTTAGTTCTTACCTTTTCAGAGCCTCAAGTTTAACATTAGTTATTTTTTTAAACGGTCACACCAACAAACAGCAGAAGCATTAGTTATTTTTTTAAACGGTCCCACCAACAAACGTGTAGTAAATTGTGATTATTGTTACAAAGGAGACTTAGAGTGTCCAATGATAGGTTCCTTACTGGAAAGTAGCACTTGTCTCTGAAGAAATGTGGTTGACATTTAAGTTAAACCTTGGAGGTAAGGTCATCCCAGGCCAAAAAGAACAGATGTGTCTAGGTCCTCAGGCAGGAAGGAACATGGCTGGTGTACCCGGAGTGCAGTGAGCAAAAGGTGAAACAGTGCTGAGATAAAGGGTCTGATCTATTCCTTACAGCGCTTCAAGGAGCTGGAAGGTCCAGCCTGTTGAAACTTAAGAGCAGTTGCTTTGGGTGACCCCAACAGTGAAAGCAGAAAGATCAGGGAGGGGCGCTTTGCAGAAGTTCTGCCAAGAAAGAATGCCACTTTGATGGAGCCGTGGGGAGGGAGGGGGTCGGTGCGCTCCAGGCCTGCTCGGCGGTGCAGGAACCAGGACCCAGGGCTGGATTGACTGCTAGACTGCTGGGTGCCTGCGCAACCAGCAGATGTTGCGTTGCCATTTACTTCAACTTCTATGCTTCACTGTAACAAGATTTTTTTAATGTTTCTGAAGTAATTATTTTGGTTAAAAGCCAAGGGCAGATTCTATTAATAACTAATAATTTTCATAAATTCCTTCCCACAGAGAGCATTTGACTACTTCAATTTAGCAGCGAATGCTGGCAATTCCCATGCCATGGCCTTCTTGGGAAAGGTACTGTACATCCAGTGAACATTTTCTTTGCTAGCAAGAGGTGTTCACCTATTAAGCACATACGGTATTTGTCTACAATTTAACAAAAATAAGCTGGAAATAAGATTTCCAGTACAAGCATATTATATCTTAAGTGCTGCTCTGAGACATTTTCTTAGGTAACTTAGAGGGAACATAGCATTTGCTTATCAGTATGTTAATTCTCCACTGAAGCTAATTGTCACTGTCTGCGGACCTACTTTTGGTGTATGATATGCAATAATAAGGGATTTATTCTTTATGTTGTGCAGTTTTTTGCTAAGTCTGTCATAATTGCCTGTTTACTTCCATGTTGATTTGAGACAATTAGGGTGTGTTGAAATTTATCTGCAGACCTTATTTAATGTCTTAAATATGATAGCCATCACCCACTTCTCAGTGCAGTTCTTTTCTCAACCAAGGAAACATTTAAGTCTAGAGACTAATGAACAGATTCCATACGTCACGGAATGTTCTCACCACTTCCTTTTTCATTATTTTGAAAACCAACACAGTGTAAACCAATGAGTATTTTCACCCTTAGCCAAGTCCTGGGGTTAGGAGGCTCAGGTAGAATATATCTCAAAAGTCTTTACAAAGAGAAAGATCTCATCAGTATTTGCCACACGATCACAATTGGTCATTTGGGGCCTGAGAACTTTACATTTACACTTTTCTAACTGCTGCAGTGTAGAAATTGGTATCGCCCATCTATTTTTGTTAGCATTTAAGAACTTTTCTTTTCGGCCCTCTCGATTCTTGCTCTGAATTTCTGATTTTCCCTATCTCAAAGAAAGGTTTCCTTTCCTTATCTCCCTGATACACACATGGATAAAAACAGTACTACCGGTCATTCAGTCTTCTTTCTCTTGGCCCTTTTATCAGTTCCCATACCCGGTACTCTATAATAATTCAGTGCTTGAAACCTTTTAAAATAACTTTTGAGTTACCTCTTTTCCTGAACTTAAGACTCTCCTTGCATCTTATCATGGGGAAAGCAGTGGACATTGTCCTCAGCTCTCCTTTTCCTCGTGTAATCACTTATTCCAAGCCACTGGTTGACCATTTGACTGCCCTCAGTCAGCGCAAGAGGAAAGATTTGTCTTGGGCTTTAAGATCACTTCTCCTGAGATTGATCAGTGAACTGATTTTATATAGTCATGTTTATAGATAAGTCGTAAATTTGGTGTGACCAAGAATATATTAAAAATACCTACATTTAAGATTTTGCTTTTAATTCTAAAATACCCTGTGGGAAACTATAACACTTTGTTGAAAGAGTTCATGAAATCATGAGATGAGATAGGGGAAAAATGTAATTGCTAAGAAGGTTACAGCTCATATTGAAACTGGGGTCTGTTTTCCAGATGTATTCAGAGGGAAGCGATATTGTACCTCAGAGTAACGAGACAGCTCTTCACTACTTTAAAAAGGCTGCTGACATGGTAAGAATTCTCGACTCAGTGTATTGAAATGTGAGCCATATTTCTATTATTTTAAGAGATAAGTTTTTAAAGGAATTAATCATAATCAACTTATTCCATAAATTATTCGAAGTGCTTATGTTAATATGATTCATTTGGATGAACGGATTAGGAAGAAACCTCAATAAAAAGCTATATACATAGATATGTGTGTGTGTGTGTGCGCGTGTATTAGGGACTAGATCATTGAACATTAAGTCTGTTTCAATTTCACTGAGAAGTTTCCTGGCCAGGGAAATAATGATTTTAGTAGTAGAATTGGGAGTTATATAATTTACCCTGTTTGTATTGCAACTTGAGGTTTAAAGCTTCACTGACTAGTTTTGATCATTGTAACACACAAGTTAGGCTTTCTTTGGCCCCGAGAAAGCTGCCTCTTGAGTATTTAAGACACTCTGACGCCAGTGTGTGCACTTACCTCTGTCAGCTAGCACATGCTACTGACCGGGGCCGTTCTTACTAGTTGGACTAGTACAACTAGTACGTGTTGTCCCAGACAACAGTTGAGCTTTTCCTGAAGCGGCACTGTGACACTTTTTTTAAAGATGCTTCTGTCCTTCTGATTTTAGGTGGATACTAGATTTTTCTCTGTAAGGTCTCAAATCAGTGATTGTCTTTGTTCCACAACAGTCCAGCAACCTTAAGCACACCCTCACCACTGATCTCAATGTGTTGATTCTGCCCTGTGGCAGCATCTTCTTTGTCGGGGTTGGAGGTTACCAGTGGAAAACCACCCCCCAAAAAACAAAAGTGACCTACTTTTAATTTTGGAAAGATTAAATATATCAGTCATGTTTCATATCACAGATTTGTGAGCCAGATATTCATAGGTAAGTCACCAAAATTTAATTCTAAGTGAATTTACTCTTTACTGTTTTTCAGCAAATATTGAATGTTAGGTCTCCAAAACTCAGTATCCTGTTTAGTCTGATGGGAAGGAGGAAATTCTGTTTTGAATTGAAAAACATACTAAGACATGTTTTGAATATGCTTATAAATTATTTCTTTTGCAGTCACTTTTTCTTGCCTATTTTTTTTTAATGAATCCTTTAATTTTGGTCTGGTTGGCAGGGCAACCCTGTTGGACAGAGTGGGCTTGGAATGGCTTACCTCTACGGGAGAGGAGTTCAAGTTGTAAGTTTTCAGTCCTAACGTTCTGACTTCAACAAGCAAGCAGCTAGTGACATAGGGAAGTGTTCCTTAACTAGCCCCCAGTCAGCCCAGGTGAGGCCATTTGGTTTGTAACCAGAGCTCAACCTGGAACATTCTCTCTCAGTTGGGTTCCCCACCACCCCTCAACCTGTCCTACCACAGCAGCTATCTTCTAGGTGTGGCTGTGTCTCTGACACCTTCTCAGAGCGTGAAACTGTTTCTCACGTTTTCATCTCTGCTCTTCACCTCTCTTACTCGCCCATCTGTCTCAAGCTCCAGTATCTCCGGGCCGCTTCGTCACTCAGGCCTAAGAAAATTCTCAGGTCCTGTCGTGTGGAGTGAGGAGAGCTCTCTGTGCCACCCCTTTCCCGTCTAGCTGCCACCTCTCTCCTTTCCAGCCCTTTCCTGCAGCCCAGGTTTCTCCAGAGAAGGAAGTCTGTGAGCGGCTGCATCCATTCCTCAGCTCTCAGCAGTCAGGCTTCCACCTCCTGTCGCTGCTCTGCACAGCCCAGCAGTGACCTCCGCGTCAGCCCGCACGGCGCTGGTTCTGCCTCCCCCAGACTCTCTCCTCCTCGGGGCCGTCCGGGTTTTCCAGGGCCACTGCGCCTTGTTCCTCTGTGCTTCTTGCTCACGCTGGAGGCCCCTGGATCCTCACCACTGTCCCCACCTCTGTCCGATCTCCCCAAGCCGTGTATTCTTTTAATTTGGGCCCAAACTAAGAGCTCGGTAGAGAATTCTAGCCTGTAGGTATTCCCTAGCACGAAAGACAGGGATGTGGTCTCATTTTGAGTCCATCTAGTCATGTTAGGATAGTAAAATCCTGTAGTGACCTTTGTTTTCAGTTTTCTCTGGGGATATGTGTGATATTTGACATCTGATAATGATGTTTGATAAGCTGTTCAGGGATGGAACTAATGAGAGAATGCTTTTTCTTATTTAATGTTTAAAAATTGAGGTTTAAAAGGATTTGTTGATTAATAGAAAAGCTGTGACTGTTTCTTAGTTTTTGGTCTGCTGTTTTAGTAGTGTTGTTCATGCTTCCTGAGTGCAGACATACAAGTTGTTTCACAAAATAATGTTTTTGTTTTTCTTCACGGTCTTAAATGTTAATCCACCATGACTTAAAAAATATTACCATCTGTGTATTATTAAAAAGAAGGTCTCTTAACGACTTCAGGAATACTGTGTGCTTTGTGAATTCTTTTTATGAATGAATCTCCTGACTTCGGAATATGTCAGTCTTTCAAGCCTTCTCATCATGTGATGATGTGAATTCTTTTTCTCCAGAATTATGATTTGGCACTGAAGTATTTCCAGAAAGCTGCTGAACAAGGCTGGGTGGACGGGCAACTGCAGCTTGGCTCCATGTACTATAGTAAGGAACGATGGGTGCTCCAAGTCTAAGCTTCCTGTTTTCCTCTAGGTGTCACTGTGATATGGAAATGAGAGCTGTTGAGTTTCTATCTGATTAATGTCCTCCCAGGTCAATAATCTGTGCACATCTTGTATTGCCCTGGAGAATATATTAATCTGTGTTAATGTGCAAATCTGTATTAATAAGAGTCACATCTTTCTGAAGTAAGAATTCTGAGCTCCATTTAGTTTCATTCCTGGATGAGGCCTCTCTGATGCGTCAGCTGAATCACACTTCCACTGTCCCTGCCCCGTACAGACGGCATCGGAGTCAAGAGGGATTACAAGCAAGCCTTGAAGTATTTCAACCTGGCGTCCCAGGGAGGCCACATCTTGGCCTTCTACAACCTGGCTCAGATGCACGCCAGCGGCACCGGCGTGATGCGCTCATGTCACACTGCCGTGGAGGTGAGGGCTCTTCTGCGCTTGCCTGGGAGGAGAGGCTGCTGTTTTCTTTCTGGCTCTCTTGGTGTGGCGTCTTCTAGAGGAGAAACAGACTCAGCCGACTAGCCCTGAGACACTGAGGGAAGGCTCTGAGGATCTCTGTGTCACTGTCGCACTCACTGATTCGGTCTGTCTGTCCCTCCTGGCGTCAGCCTTTACAAGAGCGGATGTTATTGTGTGCAGTCTCTCTGGCGCCTAGGACAGTATCTGAGATGTAGCATCAAAAAGTGTATGTTAAATGAATATTGCAGGGGGAATGCTCATATCTCCTAGCTGGGACCTTTCCTCTTCAGCTTTCTCATGATTGGCACTTCAGAGGGATGGTGTTAAACGCTTAGCACAGTTTTAAGGGCTTCCCAGGTGGCACAGTGGTAAAGAATCCACCTGCCAGTGCAAGAGACGTGGGTCCAATCCCTGGGTTGGGAAGATCTCCTGGAGAAGGAAATGGCAACCCACTCCAGTGTTCTTGGCCTGGGAAATCCCATGGACAGAGGAGCCTGGCAGGTTACAGTCCACAGGGTCGCAAAGAGGTGGACAGGACTGAGCATGAATACACACAGTTTATAAACCTCTGTGCTTCAGTTTCCTTCCTTGTAATATGGAGCTGTTCCTGGGACTTAACCTAGTGAGAGAGTGGCCCCTCACAGGAGGAGTGAGTGAGTTACTGTTCTGAAGACTAAGTGAAAGCTTCAAATTAGTATCCCAGTTTTATATATATATATATATATATATTTTTTTTTTTAATAAAGCTGCCAGAGATTGAGAGAACAAGCTTAACAATGGCTTGTAGCCAACGTGCAAAAAATGATTTTCTGACACACCTCTGTTTTGTCCTGTCCACACAGTTGTTTAAGAATGTGTGTGAACGGGGCCGGTGGTCTGAGCGGCTCATGACCGCTTACAACAGCTACAAAGACGGAGACTACAACGCTGCTGTGATCCAGTACCTCCTGCTGGCCGAGCAGGGCTATGAAGTGGCGCAGAGTAACGCAGCCTTCATCCTCGACCAGAGTAAGGCCCACTCCCATCCTGCCTGGGGGTTGGAACACAAGGTGCACGTCAGGTTCAGTTCAGTGCACTTCAGTTGCTCAGTCGTGTCCAACTCTTTGCAACCCCACGAACTGCAGCACACCAGGCCTCCCTGTCCATCACCAACCCCTGGAGTTTACTCAAACCCACGTCCATTGAGTCGGCAATACCATCCAACCATCTCATCCTCTGTCGTTCCCTTCTCCTCCCGCCTTCAATCTTTCCCAGCATCAGGGTCTTTTCCAATGAGTCAATTCTTTTCATCAGGTGGCCAAAGTATTGGAGTTTCAGTTTCAGCATCAATCATTCCAATGAATATTCAGGACTGATTTCCTTTAGGATGGACTGGTTGGATCTCCTTGCAGTCCAAGGGACTCTCAAGAGTCTTCTTTAGCACCACAGTTCAGAGGCATCAATTTAAGACATCAGGTTAACTTGTTTAAAAAGAAAAGCCACAAATGTATTTTTTTATTGAAGTGAACAGCCCACATGCTCAAGTTATTTTACCTCAGATCTCTAAGCCATCAAAGTGAGTTTTATGGAGTTGACACTAGAAATAGATCCGACATTGATCATAAAATTAACTGCTTTCAGTTAAATACATTTTTCAAACTACAGCAAATACAAAAACATTGTTTTTCCAGTTGCATATAGATTCCTAGTGGTTCAGTGCGAAATGTCAGACTGCATAAAGCACAAGCTGGAATCAAGATTGCAGGGAGAGATATCAGTAACCTCAGATACACAGAAGACACCACCCTTGTGGCAGAAAGCGAAGAAGAACTAAAGAGCCTCCTGATGAAAGTGAAAGAGGAGAGTGAAAAAACTGGCCCAACATTCAGAAAACTTTAAGATCGTGGCATCTGGTCCCATCACTTCATGGCAAATAGATGGGGAAACAATGGAAACCATGACAGACTTTATTTTGGGGGGCTCTAAAATCACTGCAGATGGTGACTACAGTCATGAAATTAAAAGAAGCTTGTTCTTTGAGAGAAAAGCTATGACCAACCTAGATTAAAAAGCAGAGAAAGTACTTTGCTGACAAAGGTCCATCTAATCAAAGCTATGGTTTTTCCAGTAGTCATGTTGGATGTGAGAGTTGGACTATAAAAAAAACTGAGCACCAAAGAATTTATGCTTTTGAACTGTGGTGTTGGAGAAGACTCTCGAGAGTCCCTTGGACTGCAAGGAGATCCAACCAGTCCATCCTAAAGGAGGTCAGTCCTGAGTGTTCACTGGAAGGACTGATGTTGAAGCTGAAACTCCAGTACTTTGGCCACCTGATTGAATGAGCAGAGTCATTAGAAAAGACCCTGATGCTGGGAAGGGTTGAAGGGAGGAGGAGAAGGGGACGACAGAGGATGAGATGGTTGGATGGCATCACCGAGTCAATGGGCATGAGTCTGAGTAAACTCCGGGAGTTGGTGATGGACAGAGAGGCCTGGCGTTTTGCAGTCCATGGGGGTCACAGAGTCACACACAACTGAGTGACTGAACCGAGTGGTTCAGTAATTAGTCTCATTATCAGCTCTGTGGTTAAAACATGCCTCGGGAAGCAGTGTTGTCCTGAATGCAGTGATTCCTTTGAACTCAGTATTTTATTCCCATACTTGTTATTTCAACAGTTTTTTCATTTAATATTTTATATCCCGTTTCTCATTTAAATTATGCTGCATGTATCCACCCTGGTTTGCAGATGCAGCCTAAAACTCTAGTGCCTTTCCTTAAATGCCTGGTTTGTGTTTCATTTTCCTTGTAGGAGAAGCGACCATCGTAGGTGAGAATGAAACGTATCCCAGAGCGTTGCTTCACTGGAACCGGGCGGCCTCACAAGGTGAGCGGTTGGTTAGTTCTAGGATGAGAGTTTAACCTTGGGGCCTTTCTTTCTTGTATCTTTGTTTTTATCTTCCATAAGGATTAGATCATATCATTCATGACTTTTAACAGAGATACTGTTGCTTACCTTGTTTGCCTGATTTGTATTCATTCTTAGAATGAGTTCTAATCCAGGCTTTTTTAATTGAACTGCAGGGTCTTTGTAATGGACATTTATATCATTCTATGCTTTACTCTGATTTTTAGTTTGAGGCTAGTGTGTTGTGTAAAATGACAATTGAATAAAATGTGTAATAGAATATAGGTGTAAAATGTGAGATTTCAGCCTTTCCCCACTCTTTTTTGTTTGACTATTTCTTTCTCATGCATGCTACTCCCAACATTATCTGCCCATCTATTCTTCTATACAGCGCTCCAGTTAAACTATTTAAAATGTTAAATGATACTATAGAATACAGTGATCATTTGAAAAGTATTGTTAGTGAAATATAAATTACACCCACTTTGTTTTGCCTCTCCCTGACTGTTGCAAAAGCCTTCTTCAGAAGTGCAACATTTCTGATTTAAATTTTTTACTGAATTTGTAGCTTGGCTGAAGAAATTGCTATAAAGTTCGTGTGTTTATAAGATGGACTTCCCAGGTGGCACTAGTGATAAAGAACCCACCTGCCAATGCAGCAGACTCGAGTTCTATCCTTGAGTTGGAAAGATCCCCTGGAGTAGGAAATGGCAACCTACTAATATTGGCAACCAATAACTCCAGTGTTCTTGGCTGGAAAACCCCATGGACAGAGGAGGCTGGCGGCTTATAGTCCATGGGGCCACAAAGAGTCAGACATGACTGAGCACGCACATGCACACTGTGTGTTACAAATTAACATTCTATTTTATGGAAGCATGTTAGCAGGAGGAGAAATAAGAATTTCATCTGTTTTAAACACAGCTTCTGATTGCCAGTTTTACGTTTAACCGCTGTTTCAGGCTATACTGTGGCTAGAATCAAGCTTGGAGACTACCACTTCTACGGCTTCGGCACGGACGTGGATTACGAGACGGCGTTTATTCACTACCGTCTAGCGTCTGAGCAGCAGCACAGTGCGCAGGCCATGTTTAACCTGGGCTACATGCATGAGAGGGGACTGGGCATTAAACAGGTGGGCGTGACTGCAGATGCGTGCGTGCTGGCGTTTTGATTTGGGGGACAGCGTTTTCATTTTTACAGGAAATAGGCTTGCTCTGGAGTGTGCTCACACTTTAGGTGCTAAGTTAGAAGCCAGTCTTGGAGTATTTCCAAAGACTGCCCTCACCTCTCTCATCCTCAGGCATACATACGTAATGGTAGCTACACTGTTGTATTTGGGATATGAAGCCAAAGACAGATTCATGCAAGTGGAAAACAGTGCTGCCTCTGTTGCTAACTCCTGTTGGAGAAAGTATCCATCAGTAGCCAGACTCTGTCATTTCTGAATTATTTTGAAATGAATTAAAATGTTTGCTACTGATGAACTTATTCTCACCTTCCTACTGAGGTCTAACATTCTTTAGACCTGTGGTCATTCAAGTTTCTTCCTGTGTTAAAATAACTGAAAAACATATCCTCTTACACATTTTTAATTTGACATTTAAAGTTTCTCCTAAGTTTCAAGGAGTCTAAGTTGTAGCTATTTTAAACACTAACATTTTTATAAATGGAATGACTAAACTACTTTAAATCCCCAAATAATTTGATACATTCATTATTAGCTTTTTTTAAAAAAGCACAGCAGTTATTAATAAAAATTGTATCTTTTGCTTTTCTCCCTGACTTTATATTTTAGTCCATTATTCCTAAAAATTATATACCATATACTGATCACTCTGTCATGCTTACCTGAAACAAAAAGTATGTAAATTTGAATTTGAATTTTATTTCCTGTGATTCTAGGCTGTGTTAAGAAAAATTATTGAGATATTATTAGTCATAGTTAGTCAATTATGAATACACTGTTGATCTCATCAAACTCATTATTTTATTAAATTTTACTTTCTCTAATATTTAGAATGCATATTTGAGATGAAAAGAGCATTTGAAAAAATAATTCTAAGTATTATGGGATAAATTTAACATTTTGTTTTTCATTTTATAAATACATGAGTGGAACCTCATTCACATAAGTAAGTGTATGGGAATGCGAAGAATTCTACAGCAAGGTCATTGGTTCTTTAAATGGCTTTAGAGTTCTGTGCTGTCGTGGTCAGTGTGGGCTCCGTAACAATACCGCAGAGCAGTGGCTTAAGCAGCAGACGTTTATTTCCCCCATTTCTGGAGGCCAGGAAGTTGAAGATCAGGGTGTCTGCAGGTTTGGTGTCTGGTGCAGGCGCTCTCCTCTCTGTGGCCTCTCATGAGGAAAGAGTGAGAGAGAAGCAGCAAGCTCGTTGAGGATTCTGATGAGGACATTTATTCCCTTCATGAGTCCCCCCTCATCCAGTCCCAGTAACCTCTCAAGCCCTCGCCTCTTCATACCAGGGCATGGGGCTTCACAGACAAGCATTTAGTCTGTGACATATGCCACAAATCAGATTAATCTGTCATCGAAGTTATTTCTAATGATCTGTCACTGGATAAGTCGGTTAGGTCCCCCCTTCATTCTGTTGAAAAACAAATTGGAAACTAGAGACTTCCAGAAGGAAGTGTTCCCTGGTCACTGGACTCTTCCTTCCTCAGTTTCTGGGAGTCACCTCTGAAAGGCTTTCCCCGGGCTGATCAAGGAGCTGATGATACTCCTTACTCACTCAGTCTCCTGGAGACCTTTTGTGCTTAAAAGAAGGTGGTTCATTTCATTTTGTTAATGCACTGCTTTTTTGTCAAAGTGCTTATTTTATTGATTGAGTATTTTATGTTAATTCCAATGTGTAATTTTTGATACATTTGTGTGAACATTAGATGTTGAATATAGTTTTATCAAGAATCTGGAGCTTCAGGCTGTGCACTCAGTTCATGGACAGTCTGCTGAGTAGCACAGCTGTTGAAGCTTCCTTGCCTTGTCAAACCAGTTGGCCTAATCCAACTATTTCTATCAGAAGGCCTGACTTTGTTAACTTAAATAAAATTAATGGGTTGGATGCCTGAAAAGATCACACGTAAGTTGTGGTTTTTATACATTGAGTAATAATTTGCAAAGACAATCAGAATTAAAGTGGTAAAACTTTTAATTTTAAAAAAATCCTGTTTGTATAATAGGCTATACAATAAGAAAATTAATCAGTGCTTTTTGCATAATAATTTAATTTGTAATGTTATACAAATTTAACCTGTAATGTTTTACAGAGCTTATACAAATTCTTACGAGTAAAGACTGATGAAATGCATGGTATTCCTTTGATTGGGTGGGGGGAACTGCTGGGATCCATTTTTTTTTAATTAATTTATTTTTTATGGAAGGATACTTGCTTTACAGAATTTTGTTGTTTTCCGTCAAACCTCAACATAAATCAGCCATAGGTGCACATATGTCCCCTCCCTCTTGAACCTCCCTCCCATCTCCCTTCCCATCCCCACCCTGGGTTGGTACAGAGCCCCTGTTTGAGCTTCCTGAGGCATACAACAGCTTCCTACTGGCTGTCTGTTTTACACATGGTAATATAAGTTTCTGTGTTACTCTTTCCATACATCTCACCCTCTCCTCCCCTCTCCCCATAAGCCCATAAGTCTGTTCTCTATGTCTCTTTCTCCATTGCTGCCCTGCAAATAAATTTTTCAGTATCATCTTTCTAGATTCTGTATATATGCATTAGTATACAATATTTATTTTTCTCTTTCTGACATACTTGACTCTGTATAATAGGCTGTAGGCACATCCACCTCATTAGAACTGACTCAAATGCATTCCTTTTTATGGCTGAGTAATATTCCATTGTGTATATGTACCACAACCTCTTTATCCATTCATCTGTCGATGGACATCTAGGTTGCTTTCATGTTCTAGCTATTGTAAATAGTGCTGCAATGAACATTGGGGTACATGTGTCTTTTTCAGTTTTGGTTTCCTCAGCCTAGGAGTGGGTTTGCTGAGTCATGTGGTGGTTTTATTCCTAACTTTTTTAAGGAATTTCATTAGTTTTTTTTTTTTTCCATTTATTTTTATTAGTTGGAGGCTAATTACTTTACATCATTACAGTAGTTTTTGTCATACATTGAAATGAATTAGCCATGGATTTACATGTATTCCCCATCCCGGTCCCCCCTCCCACCTCCCTCTCCACCCGATCCCTCTGGGTCTTCCCAGTGCACCAGGCCCGAGCACTTGTCTCATGCACCCAACCTGGGCTGGTGATCTGTTTCACCCTAGATAATATACATGTTTCAATGCTGTTCTCTTGAAACATCCCACCCTCGCCTTCTCCCAGAGTTCACAAGTCTGTTCTATACATCTGAGTCTCTTTTTCTGTTTTGCATATAGGGTTAGTTTTAATAAGACATTATGATCACCTTTTCCTGTTTGTTTTCTGTTTTTTAAATAAACCACATATTCATACTCTAAAAACTAATCAATCTAGCATCTAATATAGATAGAAAAATTTAAGTATTAAACAAGATGAGGATTGGTTATAATTGGAATAAATAATTCAGGAGTTGATTGATAAGATTTAATTTCTCTTATCAACTATCATCTGCACAGAGTCCGTGGATCACATAAAGTTTGATGTATGATCTTGAAAGATATGACAGTGCAGATAAAATGTGTTACTTTTTTAAAAATCAAAGCCACTCACCATACTGTCAGTTTTGTTTGAAGGTTCTCTTCTGTTTAACTGATGACCCACCTAGGGACAAGTACACAGAAGAGCTGGAAGTAGCCACTTCTATTTAAATGTGCAGGAAAAGTCAGTCTCAGTGTTTAGCCTTTCTCTACCATGTCTCATGGAATTCTTACCTACGAATTTAGTATTCTCTGACAATACTCAGGGCATGAGAGAAGTGAGGTTGTTAAATGAGATTTTTGCAGCTTACAGCATCCCATTCTACCATTTATCTGAAGGCAGAGCACCCTCATCTGGGCCAAAGTTAGTAATAATTTGTTTCCCCCTTTACAGAAATAATCTAAGACGGGGAAACAGAGGATTGAGAAACCCCTAACACCCCTTAGAAAACTTTTGGGTATGTCTACCCCAGTATAAAGATCTCTGCTCCAGACAGAAACCAGAAATTCCTAATGCTGACTGGTTTGTAAGTAGGAAAAAATTAGCTTGAGACCTACAGGTCACCCTGGAAGTCTCCGGGTTAACAGTGTTATGCACAGACATTGTATATAACTGTGTCCAGCAAGGTCAGGGACATACAGGTTACCTTTTGAATTTTTTCCATTAAATTCTTCAAAAGTAAGTGGTTAGATAATTAAAAGAAATTTTACCTAATTAAAGCTTGAGTTCTTACTTTCAGTAAGGGAAATTTTAAAATGAAACTTGAAAGGTAAAATAAACTCTCCGAACATGTAAATAGTAATTATTTTTACTTTAACAAGAACTGAAGCTTGGCTTATCACCTCTGTTGTAGGACATTCACCTTGCAAAGCGTTTTTACGACATGGCGGCCGAAGCCAGCCCAGATGCACAAGTGCCGGTCTTCCTCGCACTCTGCAAGCTGGGCGTGGTCTACTTCTTGCAGTACATACGGGAGACAAATGTAAGTGGTCCACGGCTCTTCTCAGTAAAATACGCGTGATGTAACCTCAACCCACAGGTTTGGTTTTGCTCAGATGGGGGAGAGGAGAAAGGACGTGTAAGTGACTCGTCTTTTCCCCTCTTCCTGGATAAAGGGTCCTCACCAGGTGAGGGACGAGGGTGCCGCAGAGCGCTTACAGTTCCCAGGTGGCGTCTGCCAGTGAGCGGGAAAGGGCTAAAGGGCGTCCCAGGTGGTGCAGCGGAGAAGAACCCGCCTGCCGATGCAGGAGACGCAAGAGACACGGGTTCGAACCCTGGGACGGGAAGATCCCTTGGAATAGGAAGTGGCAACCCGCACCGGTATTCTTGCCTGGGACATCCCAGGGACAGAGGAGCCTGGTGGGCTACAGTCCACAGGGTCGCAAAGAGTCGGACACGACTGAACGACAGTGCATGCATGTATGCCCATTGCTAGCACATTTGTCACTGGTGCAGATGTTTTCTGGTTAGGGAAAGCTGAGACTAACCCATGACAACTTGAAATAGTAATTAACTAAATTCAGTAAACATTTTAATCAGATGACTGCCTTGCAGTGACTCAGGCCAACCACTTAAAGAGAGACTAAGACATGGGAAGAAGTGGGACCTGAGAGCCTGCCCAGACTGCTGTGCTTCAGATGCTTCTGCTAGTGAAACATGTTAAAAACACCACCGGAAGTGTTTTCTAAAAATACCTAGAATTCTTTCAGTGTGCTCAGTGGTGGAACCTTGCTAGGAGGTGGGTGAGTTACCCATTCTCTTCACAGCTCCCAGCTCGGTTTCCAGCACAGTGCTCTTGGGTTCCCCAGTTGTCTGTTTTGTTTACAGTACCTGTCATTCCTCATAACAGATTCACTGGTGCAGCATTTAACTCTGAGTCTTAAAAGGTATGCAGAAAGAAGGTCTATTTCACTTTAATTCACTCCAGGCCAGAAAGGGATGATGTCAACCTTTTGTTAGCATCTTTCAGGACAAATTGACACACCCTTTCACTGTTAGATTCCAAAAGGGGTTTACTCGGTGTTAACATATGTAGATTGAGTCCTTGCTGCTTCAGCATCCAGAAGACGAAATTGGACAACTTCTCCGTTTTCCAACCTTAGTCGACACACCAAGGTTCTCCACCTATAGGGCTCCTGAGGGCTGAAGGTGCTGGCATCTGTCCTCTCCGCTGCTTAGACACTCGTAATGTCAATTTATGACCGTTTGGTAGCATGAGCCAGGGTATGCTGTACGCTCTGCCATCAGTAACTCAGAGGATCTTCGTTCCTTTCACTGAAAAGCTAGCAGTGTGGCCAGTGGCTCTTACTTTCTCAGGACTATTTCAACTAAACTATTGATTACATGTGTATTACATTATTATCCATATTTGCCTAATTATCAGTATTGAGCACAGTCTAGAATTTGGTCATGTAGTATGCCGTAATAAGTTCTGTTTTACCCCGGGGTATAGGAGAACAATAAGATGCCCCATAATCTTACCACCTGGATATTCTCCCACCTCCCCTGCGAAAGGAGTAAAAAGTACTGATGGTGAGAAAGTCAAACAGTAAAGAAAACCAAAGTCTCCTATTGTAGGTCCTACCCCAGGAAACTATTAGTTTCTATACCTACAAATGTATATTACGGGGACCTTTTAAATGTAGTTTTATTCAAACAAAGGATTATGCCCCATATTTCCTTTCTTGTTGGTCCAGGGTAAGTAGTAGTCAGAAAATACCAGGAATAACTTAAGTGACATTAAAATATGATAGCATAATTTTAAAGTTCAATTTCAGCAGCCAATTATAGTTAAATCCTAACTAAAAAGCATTATTTGTGCAGCTATTAAACATACGAATCCCTAACACCTTCAGTTACAATACATGAGAGACCGTAGTAAAATAGCCCTGCCGTCATTAGAAGAAAGCTTTTTATTAGCAAGTGAGTCATTGCTGGAAACAGGCTATAGTTGTGCCCAGACACTGCTTCCCCAGCACCGTCCTCCATTGTCCCCAGTGTGTGTTTCAGATATTTCCTGTGAAAAATGATTGGAAATTAGCTCATTAAGTTACTGATGGGAAGAAGTCCTGTAAGATACTTTGTTGTTGTTTAGTCACTCAATCCTGTCTGACTTTCTGCAGTTCCATACACTGTAGCCCGCCAGGCTCCTCTGTCCATGGAATTCTCCAGGCAGGAATGCTGGAGTGGGTTGCCATTTTCTTCTCCAGGGGATCTTGCTGCCCCAGAGATCAAACCCAAGTACTTTTCATTTTTTCAGTTGAACTGATTGTTTTGTTTTGTCTAGTTCTTAATTTTATTAGATTGGTTACTTTGTTAAAGTCTGGTGGGCTTTAATTTTTAGTTTTTTTCTTACTGAAGTGCAGTTAATGTACAATACTATAGAGTTACAGGTATACAAAATAGTGATTCATAATTTTTATAGATTGCACTCCATGTATGGTTATTATAAATCACCGGCTGTATTCTCCATGTTGTAGCTTATGTTATACGTAACAATTTGTGTCTCTTAATCCCGTGCCTTTATATGGCCCCTCCCACTTCCCTCTCCTCTTTGGTAACCACTAGTTTGTTCTCTGATCTGTGAGTCCGCTTCTTTTTTGTTATATTCACTAGTTTGTAAATTTTTTAGACACCACGTATCAGTGATATCATACAGTATTTGTCTTTGTGTCTGACTTATTTCACTTAGTATAATGCCCTCCAAGCCCATCCATGTTGCTACAGATGGCAAAATTTCATTCTTTTTATGGCTAAGTAATAATATTCCATTGTGTATATGCACCATATCTTCATTCACCAACTGATGGACACTTAGGTTGCTTCCATATCTTGGCAATAATGAATTATGCTACTGTGAACATTGGAGTGCATATATCTTTCAGAATTAAGTGTTTTTGTTTTTTTCAGATAAATAACCAAGAGTGGAACTGCCGGGTCATATGGTAGTTTTTTTAGTAAAATCTTTTTTCTAAAAAAGACATTGCAAAATATTACTAAAACCAATTGTTTCAATAAATTCTGTATTTATCTCTTAATTTGTGAGTTAACTTTCCTGGCTTTATGTTTAAGTGATCATAATGATTTTTATATTATTCTCACTAAGATTCGAGACATATTCACCCAACTTGATATGGACCAGCTCTTGGGACCTGAGTGGGACCTTTACCTCATGACCATCATCGCGTTGCTCTTGGGAACAGTAATCGCTTACAGGCAGCGGCAGCACCAGGACATGCCTGTCCCCAGGCCTCCGGGGCCACGGCCGGCCCCGCCACAGCAGGAGGGGCCCCCAGAGCAACCGCCGCCGCAGTAACCCGCCGCGTCCCCCCAACGGGTGACGGACAAGGAAAGGGTTTGCTGAGAGCGCTTTCATTCGATGTAGGACTTTGGATCAGCGGTCGCCACCTCCTGGAAGAGGCACAAGGAAGCGTTGAATTCCTTAAGCTGCTTGGAATCTGATGCCTTTATTTTCAGGGATAAGTAACTCTTACCTAAACTAAGCTGAATGTCCGTTTCAGTGCTGTACGGAATAACAACTCTCAGTGGCTTCCCCCGCCCCCTTTTCTTACCCCGGAAACATTTGCGAGACACTCACAGTGGTCATGTCCACTGTGTCCAGCTGTCTTTTTTGGGTCCCTTCGGTCACTCTTACAATGTGCATAAGTTCTGTCGACCGTCCTGAAGGTCTTATGCGTTGACACTAAAACTGATCAATGTAAAAAGGAAAACACAGTTGCAAATCTAACCTTAACATGTTTGAAAGTCTGAAAATAGAACTTGCCTTTTAAGTTAAAAAAAAAAAAGTCCTCAAAGTGTTTCAGAACTCTGATAACCAAGGAACTTTTATCAGTCCACATGCAAATATACATATTCAACATATTTGTTCCTTTAAAAGGGAAGGTTGAGCGGTTTATGATGATCAGTAATTGATTGTCATACGTTATCCCGTACTTCTCTGCTTCAAAGACTGAAAGGCGTTGTTAAAGAGTTGTATGTGAACTTCATTTCCTTGGAGTGGAGTATATAGAAAACTTTGTGAACTGACTCCTTGAGCTAACACCTGGACTTGCCCCACCTACTCAGTGTGACCTGCTTGTTTGTTACAAGTAGGCAGAGCCTTTACCTGGAGCCAGAGGCTGGACTGAATGGGAGAATTAGAAAGCAGTATTGAAGGAGTCTGGGCGGGGGTACCAGGATCACAGACACACTTTCCCAAAAGTTAACGCATTTGTTCCCAGGATTCAATTTATTAATACTTTGCATTTCTTACTGCAAAAGAACAGACCACCCTCCTGAATTCTTTAAATGTGAAATAACCTTGCCAGGCTATGGCAGACATAAACTACCATTACAATACTAAAACTCTATAGAGAGTCGGAGATGCATTAAAATCAGTGGTTGAAGAAAGCTACTAAAGCCTCTTTGTTCAGATAGATTTTTTTTCCTGCAGCTTGACGTAACAGGAGAAAATCAACCACTTGCGTAGCTCCCGTGGTTACCACCCTCCACGGTTAACATTAGGGAAAGCAAGGCTGTTACCCTTCAGAACTGTCTGCTTCAGGAGTATGGAGAACAGCCGCCACAGAGCCAACAGCAAACACCGGAACATCGCATGTCACACAAATGAGAAGCTTCAGCCACACCCATGCTCCTTTTCATGGTGGGATGGCAGCATTCGCCATCCTGTGTCCAGTCTGAGACCCGCTTTAGCGCCTGAGCAGGCTTTCTGCACTTGCTGGCCTCCATCTGTTTCTGTTCATCTTTCCGTAACCCCTCATCTGCCAGGAAACTTGAAGAGTTCCTTACCTGTAGAGTTGTAAAACTTTGGTTTTTGAAGTGGGGGTTGTATTTAGAACTAGGTCTAACCAGTCCGTAAGGAAGCTGAGGGCTCTAAATGTGAAATTGTGTGCTTTTGTGTGTGTGGTGTGTGTAGAGTATTACGAGAAACCTGGTGAGCGAACTTTCCTCCTGGATAGTTGCTTCTAAACCTGAAGAAGTGGTCACAGCAAGACCCACATGTGTAAATGCAGATCTGAAAGGTAGGACATTTTACCCTCAGAAGTGTAATGTCGCTTTGCACAGCTCATGTAAATACTAAGACTTCTGTTCGCTCTCTTTCGTGAGAGATCTGTGTGCATTTGGTACAGGATATTCATGTCTTCACCCCTGCCTCTTCTCCCCACCCTTCAAAATAAGTAGGATCCATGGTAGCAGCCACTCTTCGTTTCAAAGGAACTGTTTTATTTAAACGTTTAACAACTAAACTTCCATGTTTTTCTGTCATCCACCTAATTTCTCCTTTAGCAGTATTCTTATCTATCTTTTCTTCCCTCTGTTAGTACTTCGAAAAAGACTGTTCTTCAGCAGTGGTCTCTACCCCAGAGGCAGACAGGAAAGGATGGTCTTGTTCTCCAGAGACTGTTCTTCAACAGTGGTCTCTACCCCAGAGGCAGACAGGAAAGGATGGTCTTGTTCTCCAGGCGACAACAGCCTTCCTCTTGGCATTCCTCTTGCTCCTGTCCTTTCTATTCATCTTCCAAATCCATCTTTTTCTGCTGGCCTTTGTCCACCTCCTGTTTCACCCTGGCTCATTTGCTACTGGCAGTTTGAATGGTAAACCTAAAATAGCTTAGTTCCTGTGACTTCATTCAAAGACCTGTCTCTAAATCCTTGGCTCCCTTCCTCGGTCTGTACAAGGGACCTGATACCTAAACAAATAGGAACTGGGTTTCTCCTAAAATAATGCTCAATACTTAACCTAATCAAATGGCATCCATTTGAATACAATGACAGTAACTCAAGCTAGTTAATGTCAGTGACATTAAACTAACTCCAGGATTCAGGAGTTTTAATGATAGAATTTAGAGTTAGCAGGTAGAGTGTGGCCTCATCTCTCCACAGTAGCCCAGCTCTCCCCGTCCCTGTGAGAGGCTGTCTCCCTGCCTTCTGAGGCAGTGACAGAAGGACTTTACTCAGCTTCCGTTCTCTTGTGCGTTTGGTCTGTTGGTTATTTAGTCTGGAGATTCTTTAGCTTTTTGTTTTCTGCTACATTGGTGTTTGGGATTTACTATTGGGTTTTTTTTTTTTTTTTCTTCTTTCTTTTTGTTCTTGGAGCTTTTGTTTCTGTTTTCTGGGTAAGGCCTACCTTGTTTTTAGTTCCTGTTCAATGGCACAGAAAAATAGAAGGTTTCTTTTTCTTCCATAATGATTTAGCACTTAAAGGAGATTAACTTGTGGATCATTAATCCTAATACTCTTGAGGATGTGTTCCCCTTCTGCATATGCAGTTAATTTGTGAGAGTTTTACTGCTAAGCTATTATATCTCTGTATCACTGGGAAGTTTTAGAAACTTCTGCCCATGACCTGCCCATGATCTGTTGCTTTATTTAATTAAGGAGCTGCCATTGCCTCCAGGAAACTCAAGAATTTTGTATGAGCTTTTTTTTTCTTTCTGCTCCTTTCTTTGCTCCTCATGTTCTTCAAACCAGTGTTTTGGAAGTATGCATGCAAGCCTATAAATGAAGACCACAGGCCTTCATGTATGTAGCATGTGTATTATAGTGTCTAGCTACATCTGCAAACACCTTATTCAGAGGTTTGGACTAACATTTCACATGCACATTTCAAAACAAAAGTGCTTCAACTGTTAAACAGCTCCCTTACTTAACAAGAAGAGCAGCATGGGCTACATTTGCCCTGATAACAGCTACTGTTTGGTTTAAAAGTGAATTTAATTATATGTTACACAATATTATGACTACCACTGTGCAAGAAATAAAGCAAAAAGAACTTCTATTTTCATGAAATGTATTTTCATCAGTCATTGGTCTCAGATATAAGTGAAAATACAAACTTTCTGAATACCGTACTGTCTGAGGCACTACCTGACTTTTAAATGTGTAGTAAAAAGAAGCTAAATTTCTCCTTCCACTTGGTATTTCAAGAAGATTGAAAATATTCCACGGAAAAATGATTTGCACAAGTAAAAATCCGATGTGTGCATGAGAAGGATGTCTTGGTTATGTGTAGAGTCATCTCACAGCACCAGTTTTCCTGTTTGGAATGATAAGATGACACTATTCTCTTTGATTTAAAAAAGAAAAATTATAACATTTGATACGATCAAGGTGTAACCACTATTGATATTTAGGAGATGCTTTAAAAGACCATAAACTGTCATTGGAAAGAACACCATGGTAGACTTTTTGTAAATTTATTTTGTATTTAATTAAATTCAGTATAAAGGCTGGTGAAGTGTAATATAATTGTGTAAACAAATCCTGTTAATAGAGAGATGTACAGATTCGTTTTGTACTGTATCTTGAAACTTGTGAAATAAAGATTCCACCTCTGGTTATCCTGTATGCTAATCATGTTCCATGGCCAGGCACCACTCCACACAGACCTTTTTAAAAATCTGTATGATTCAGTTTTTTTAATGAACCTTTTGGATTTTCAGAAGCTTCTGGAAAAGCATTCATTAGGGGCACTTTGAAGCCATCTTAAATTTACTTTTAACTATTGAAATTCAGATTTCTGTTGAGTATTATCCTCCAGAGTACAGAGAATATGAACTTGCTAAGAAGTGTTGCCATGTTTAAATCTCTGAGATCTTGGACCTGAGTTGGCCTGTGATGTATAGTATGCATGATTCACTTTAATCATGATTTTAGTAAAACTTAGCTAAAGTGTGTTTAGTGAAAATGAAGTCTGTCAGTCGTGTCCGACCCTTTGCAACCCCGTGGACTGTAGCCCACCAGGCTCCTCCATCCATGGGATTCTCCAGGCAAGAGTACTGGAGTGGGTTGCCATTTCCTTCTCCAAGGGATCTTCCCGACCCAGGAATCAAACCCAGGTCTCCCGCATTGCAGGCAGACGCTTTAACCTCTGAGCCACCGGGGAAGCCAAAGTGTGTTTAGGCGTTGCCTTTTCTCCGAAGATTTTTACAGAGCTGCAACCATACAACGATGAAATGTACATAGGATAAGGACGATCTCAGTAGAGGGGAAACAGAGGAGAAAACGGTATTAAATCAGGAGTGAACGTGTACAGAGATGCACGTTAGAGCTGACTACAGATACAGCCCTAACGTCCTAGCAGCCAACTCAGACTGAGCTCAAGTGTTCCGCTTAGAAGCAGCAGATCCTTTTAAAGAGTCCGGATGATGCAGATCGTGGCAAGTGAGAAGTCGCACCTCAGATTTTACTTCTGGGAAGACAGCTAGCTACCCAAGAAGACCTTGACTAACCTTGACTGAAATTCAGGTTGTAAGGAAGTTATACATCAGCTGTAATGTCAGTGGTGTGTTCATTCAGCCTGACGGGTGTGATGCCTGTTTACCAGTTAACCCCTTTCTGACAAGTTGTTAAATCAGTCCTGGGGCTTCACTGAATGCAACTTGGTGAGAAACAGCCTCTCCCTTTTATTTGTATGACACTAATTTTGATTGGCCACACTATCCCTGAAATTTGCTTATACTGTGTCATGGCATATTCATTAATATATGCAAGTAAGAAATTAGAAATACTTTCTATATTAGAAACTATAACTATATGGGGGGGAAGGGATTTTTTCACTTTTTGAATGTTTTGCAAATCACTTACAGAGTCAAGTAAAAAATAAAATGAGCTTTAGAGTTTACCAGTTCAAAAAGAGAGGTGCTTCTATGTCACGGGTCTTGTATATTTCTTTCAACGTCATTTCCACCACTGCCTAGAAAGCCATCAGGCTGAACAGCCTTATGGGATCCTGAAAATTCTGCCAACTTTCTAATTGATTGTTAGGATTACATTTTGAGCAAAACTCTGGTTTTTCTAGTGGCCAAATGTTTTCCATCTGGATTAATTTCTTTTAAATAGGACCTAATGCTAATGCTGAATTATGTGTTAAATCCCACTTATAAAAGACCCACATGATTTTTTTTCTCATGTAAGTTGAGTAGTATGTGGTCAGTTAATTGACCCAAGAACATTCATCTAGATATTTTCAGGTTTTGCTCAATCCAGTTTCCTTTTGCCTTCTCTCTACCACCTAATACAACTCTCTTATTTAGCCTCTCAGCATTGAAAAGAATTTCTCCTAAGCCTTACACATATCAGATATGAGATTTAAGTATCCTAAACAAGGATTCTGACTTTGAAAAATAAAGTGGTCATTGAGTTTTACGTGAATCAGGATTTAAATGGGAACAACAGAAACCTCCATTCCCGGAAACAGATTTATTTCAAGATGTGAAAGCACACCTGTTGGTTTCAGAGCTTGTGCATCTGGGTTTCCCCATTCTTCACCCATGCCTTCCTTGCCTATATGTTTTTTTTCTCCCTTAAGAAAATTTGATTAGTTGAAATTTTTGTTGTTGTTGTTCTAAATGCAATTTTTTTGAAACAAATAGAAACTAATGCTGATCCTGCAAGGGAGGGGGAGGTAGCAAAGGGAGCCCATCCAGTTGGTCTTCTCTCTCTTGGGTCCTAGTACAGAATTTACTTGAATGTTTCTCAGCCTCCATATTTGTTGTTTTCTTTTGCACACCATTTAGACAGTATTCTTTGGTAGCATTGTGCATGCTGCGTGGAAGTTTACTGCCAGGACAGGTGAGAAGAGCACACTGTGTTCCCTACAGTCCCTAATTTGACTCCAGATGAAGTAAATGCTGTAAATTGAGGTGTCCACACCCGAGCTGTGAACAACAGCCTCTTCTTATTTCAAGGGCAAGGAAAAAGGTACTTCAAGAAGACTTAAGTATGCTCATTGGTATTTATATTTCATCACTCATTTATAAGACTTAAAAGTAATCAAAACCGCATAAGTAATTTTTTTTTTTTTTTTGTCCTCAAGTTCACTAAGCCAAAGAAGGAATCTCGTAGGTCTCGCCCAGCACAGTAGAGTAATTTTAGGAACAGGTTAATACTGCTTAATCTGAGAGCAGTGAAATAGAAGAAAGGCCTACAAACTGGGATGAAAGTCCACCCTTAGCCACAGAAAATCTGCACTGCACCCGTTAGACCTGTGTCACCAGTGAAAGGGGCGTTTTAATCACGAGTCACTATCCAGTGGCTGAATCACCATGATACATGGGACAGACACTTAGGGAGGGACCCCCATTCAACCTTCGTGGCCTGTGGCTGGGTTCTCCCATTGACCCTCCTGAGTTGCCTGAGCCTTCCGTAGAAGATTGGTGGTCAGTGCAGCCCCCACTAAATGGCCCTGATAGGCAAGGGAGAAAGGAAGGACCCCACAGCAAGGGAGAGGAGAGACCCGCCCTGGGCTGTGGCCCTCGCCGGGAGTGGGTGGCCTTGGGCGGACCACTCACTATATGGTGAGGCTGGTGGCCCTGGGTGTTCATTCAGGTCTTGCCAGCCCTTGGAGGTCTTCAATGCCAAAAGCAATTGAGAAATGTTTCAAGAACCAACCAGCCTGAGAAAAACCTCACAGCTGGCATTCAGTTTGGGGTTCTGGAGAACAGGTCACCATGAAGTCCATCTAGATCTAGGTGTGCACCTTGTTCTAATATCAGATGCCCTAAATTATCAAACCTGGGTTTGCACAAACTGCCATTTTTCTCTGCGGAACCTTATGTCCCTTTGAGACTGAAAGCTTCAGCAAGTGAATGCTGTCTTCCCATGAAGAGACTCTAGAAGGAGAGCAGAGCGTTCCAAGGGTCAGGAGGGCGGATTATGCTGCCTTGAGTCTTTCAGTCTTCTGTTATGGGCTTTATGCCTTGAGGGGCTTCTTTCTTTATATAAGATCTCAATTAATTCTGGAACAATGTTTTGCAGGATCTGTTTTACTCTTGATGGAATGGGCAAATTTTGCTCGTATCAGTTGGAGATTTTGCCCACAAGGAATGGGGTAGCTGATTTAATGGGCACAAATGATCGGCGTTTTGAGACTCAGTCTAGTAAAGTCAAAGACGGAGCAAATGAACAATGTCGAAGGGTCATTTAATTCCCTGGTTGGCTGATTATTTTTGTATATAATTGTATGTATTTATTTATTTATGTTTATGGCTATGTTGGGTCTTCATTGCTGCACAGGCTTTTCCCTGGATGTAGCATGCATGCTTACTAAGTCATTTCAGTTGTGTCTGACTTTTTGTGACCCATGGACTGTAGCCCACCAGGCTCCTCTATCCATGGGATTCTCCAGACAAGAATACTGGGGTGGGTTGCCACACCCTCCTCCAGGGGATCTTCCCCACCCAGGAATCAAACTCGCGTCTCCTGCACTGCGGGAGCCATCGGGAAAGCCCAACATATGCATTACCACGTGTGAAACAGAGAAAAATAGATAGCCGGGGGGAGTTTGATGTATGACACAGGGAGCCTGTCAGAAGCTGGTGCTCTGTGACCACCTAGCCAGGTAGGATGAGGAGGGAGGCCGGAGGGGGTTCAAGATGGAAGGGACACATGTACACCTATGGCCAAGTCATGTTGAGGTATGGCAAAGACCGTCACAACATTGTCCAGTTCAGTTCAGTTCATTCGCTCAGTCGTGTCCGACTCCTTGGGACCCCATGGAGTCCCAGCACGTCAGGCCTCCCTGTCCATCACCAACTCCCGGAGTTTACTCAAACTCATGTCCATTGAGTCGGTGATGCCATCCAACCATCTCATCCTCTGTTGTCCCCTTCTCCTCCTGCCTTCAATCTTTCCCAGCATCAAGGTCTTTTCCAATGAGTTGGTTCTTCACATCAGGTGGCCAAAGTATTGGAGTTTCAGCTTCAGCATCAGTCC